CTCAATCTTTTCAAGTCTGATGCATCACTCATCACAAATTTTATGCACACACATACACACGCACAAACACACACCTTAATCTCTTGACTGCACGTACTCGCCCGACATGAGCTCAATTAGGTGTGCAGCAGTTCGAAGCAGATCGAGCAGTATTAGTAGTCGTCGTCGTCATAGGAGAAAAAGCACCAGCAGTTGTGGTAGTAGAAGTCGGAGTTGTTTTGTTCTTGCACCAGTACTAGTACGTACAAGTAAAACTACAGGCAGCAGCATCAGCAGCAAAAGGAGCCACATCGTTGCAGTAGCAGTGAGCATGGCCATGTGCACACTCTGGGTCCTATTATGTACTAGCAGTAGCAGTAGTATAGCATGGTGAGCAGCAGCAGTAGTTCGATATGTGGTGTGCATCGCCTTCTGTCATTTTGTGGGTGCATTCCCTCCCTCGCGGTCCTGGCTGTGCATCTGTTTCTCATGTCGTGGGTCATAGTGCTCCTTCCGCTCGAAATACGATTTGGCTCAAGATGCCTGTGCGGCCCAAAATGCCGAAGGTTCAAAAGAAGCCAGCGGCTGTGGCGGTGAAGGCTCAAAAAAAGCCCAGGGCTGTGGCTGCCGCCGTGAAGAGCCGGTCGACGAAGGATGCTAGTATAAAAAAAACACGAAATGCTGCCAAGAAGGATGCCGCTATTAAAAAAAGTCGAAGTGGGAAGTCCAACTGGCAGCGCTTTAATGAGCGTCGACGACAGAAGATGGACGAGAAGAAGCCTCGCGATGCTGAGACCCAGACCCCGAATTGGGTTCGTGACATCTGCATCTGGCCCGATGAGTTCGAGGAGGACCGTTGATGCTAGTATGTGTGCGATTCCGGACCTCGGGATACGTGGGACTTCTGCAGGAAGGTGGCCATCGTTTTGCATTTGGCGACGAAGGCTCGCCCAGCATGCATATGGGGACTGAGTGTTGTTGAGTGTTGTTGGACGTTTGTTTCATTGCAGGTGAGAATGTTTCGGATCTCAAGTTCGGCTACGTGCTGGATGATGGTTTCACGCTCTTTGTGCCGAAGAATTGGGAGAAGTCTCGTGTGAGGCCCTGCTGCTCTGTTGAATGTCTAAACCTGTCTTTGCGTTCGTTTCCAGGGCCGAGCAGGCGAACGAAAGCTAGAGATGTGCCCTGTCAAAAATAGTCCAATAATTATCTGTGAGTGCTTGACGCCACAGCGTTGCAAATGCATGATGCAAGGATATTCTTTGCGATTGCTTGCGGGGCCTTACTGCACTGTCCGTGCATTGTACATGCTGGTGCATGTAGAGTGAGCCAATCTGAGCCAATAGTGAAAGATATTCATATGGTATCAGGGCATGTTGCATCCTTTGTGCGCTATAGTGGTTGTAGCGATGGTGTCCTCGACCGGCGCGACTGTGTAGCTGAGGATGCAAGCCTATCTTTGGGGAAGGTCTTGGCCTTCACGTTACGAGTGGATAAGAAGGCCAGTGTTAGAGTCGTTGGTTCGGCTCTTTGTCTTTATGAGCTTGACTCGAGCAGGTTCCTATATGTGGGATGAAAGAAAGTCCTGGTTCCAGGTGCCCCTGCTGCTACCGGCTTGTCATTTTTTAAGTTGTTGGGTTGCTGGGTCAAAGAATCCGCAGTGCTGCCTTCGTCCTAGGTTTTGCTGCAGAATCAGAACAGTATGGTGACAAAGGCAGGAATACAAGGAGGTTTTGCGAAAAGCAATATGCACCCCTGTATGTGAGGCTCAAAGAACCACTTTGGTCGAGCTGGTGTTCCAAGATGATTCTGCCCGTGCTTGCCCAAGGAAGAGCAGTTCGTAGCTCTGTGTGTTGTGCATGCTAATTCTTCCTTAGAGGTGTTTGCAGCTGCTTCCTGTGAATATGTGAGCCAGCATCTGTGCAGCCTTAGCTCTGCCCAGGCTTCCATGCTAAGGTTTTAGGAACTCTTGAGTTGCTGCATGCTTAAAATGCAGCGCCTGTCTGGGATGTATGGGTGTGTAGCAACCTGCTGGGTTTGGTGTTTGGTTTGATAAGCTTTTGTATGTGGTTTCTCCATGGGTGAGTGAAGGTTTCCAATTGCTTAGTTAGCAGCTCTTTTTTCGGTAGGTCACATGGAGTCCAGATCGGAGTGAGACCCTCCATGCAGTGGCAGAGTGCTCTCGTCAAGTCCAGAAGCTTGCTGCAGCCTTCGTTACACTCCATGAGTGCTGAGAATGTTATGATGGGCTGCTGCAGTCCTTCATTGTGTGCAATGAGTATGAAAAACTCTGACAAAAAGCGGCTCAATTGAGGTTCAACTTGCTCGTGGGCCGGACGGGCGAGCTTCTACGTTCACGAACGAAAGTTTCCAGGTGCGATGACAATGTAAGCCCGTGTGATTTCAAGGTTCAAGCTTTGGGGTATTTCGTTGTGATGTTCGGGCCAAAGACTGGGTTTGCCTGCATATCTTGAACCAATAGTTTCATCTGTTTCTTCATACTTGCTAGCATTACCGGTCCTTCTGGCTGTATGGTTCTGATGTGGGAGCCAGCCCATGCAGTTGCTGATTCCGACGTTCTAGACGTCGGGCCATGCTGGGGCTGCCGATTTCTTATTGAAGTTTGAGGCTGCAGGATCAAGGGCTTGTAGGGAGGATATAAGTGCAAGTGTTCATATCCGATGTCGCTCCTGGTTAGCAACAGCTACAGGGAGTGTCAATGAATGAGTTATTGGAAGGATTAGCCACTATTTTGGTGCAGATGTTGTTGGCTCGTGTAGTGTTGAGATTGGGGTATATAAATGCTATATGCTATAAGTTTCGCTCTGTTGAACAAACTACTTTCAAACGGCTTTTGTAGATGGTATTTCGCACGTTGCACAGGTGCATAGAATCAGCCTGTTGTAGTAGTGTAAGATCATGAAAACTTAAGCGTCTGTGTTTGCCTTGAACGAGGCGGAGGTGGAAAGCTGAGATGTACGCGCTGCCGCCACAGGGTTAAAACAAACAGTGGATGTTCATGTTGCAGGGATGCTTGTCTATGAGCGCCTTGTTGCACAGTCTGCGCATTGATTATGCTGTTGCATGCAGTGCAATATTGTGCAGAGTGCGCATGGGCCAACAGTTAAGGGGTTCAGTATTTGTAACAGTGCATGTTGCATCCTGTGCGTGCTAGCGATGGTGTCCTCGACCGAGCTCCTCCATCATAGAGGTGGGACCGTGTAGCTAAGTTGTTCACGAGCGGATTCAAAATTATCCTTGGGAAAGGTCTCGGATTCACTCTATGAGTGGATGAGAAGGCCGGTGTTAGAGTCCTTGGTTGGGCTGTTTGTCGTTAGCTTGATTGGACCAGGAAGCGATGAAAGTCCCGGTTCCAGGTGCCCTGGTTGCTACCGGCTATGCTATTTGTGAGGTTGCTGGGTTTAGATTAACCCTCAGTGCTGCATGTGTCCTAGGTTCGGCCGCAGAATCAGAACAGTATGGTGAAGAAGGCAGGAATCCAAGGACAGGTTTTGTAAAAAGCAACATGCGCCCCTGTATGTGAGGCTCGACGAACCACTTTGGCCGATCTACGGTTCCAAGATGATTCAGCCGGTGCTTCCCCCATGATGGGCAGTTCGTATCTCTGTGCGTTGTGCTTGCTAGCTCTTGCTTAGAGGTGTTTGCAGCTGCTTTTTGTGAGTGTGTGACCCGACATCTGTGCAGCATTAGCTCTGCTCAGTGACTCAGGGTTCCATGTTAAAGCTTCAGCGTGGACTCTTCAGTCTGGGATGTATTTGGTATGTAGCAGCCTGTTCGGTATGGTGTATGGTAGTAAGAGTCACGGATGGACTGGGTCTTTGCGGTTTGCCCCAACAATCCCAAATATTCAGGTAAAAGTATGGGGGCCGTGTGTGTTGTATAGATTGTACAGCGAGAGGCTACTTTTTGTCGATTTCTGGCCTTGTACCAGACGTGGCGACTTGAAAAAAAAAGCCCTAAGCTCACCTTAAAACCCCAACCCTAAGCCCCACCTTAATTGGGAAGAGCCTGAAGCCACGAAGCGGAATCGCTCACGACCGGTGGCTTTTCCTGTCAGTCACATAGCCAAACTGTAAGGCACAACGGATTTTTGCTGTTTTGTCGCGAACTTCGAAGAAGCGGCTTCTTTTTTGTGGGCAGCAAGGCATCGCAAGGAGCAGGCAGTGTTATCTTCGATTGCTTGTCTCATGTCATGTCGTGCTGGCTCCCAACTCCAAGACTCCAAGATTGGCAAGTGGCAGCTGCAAACAGTAGTCTTGATGTGTCAGTAGTTGCGTAGCAGGGCTTCGGTAAACCCAGGGGCAGTAGTGTTTAATCTTTGCAGCATAACACAGAACGCTTGAAGTGACGAAGCGGGCGAAGAACATTCCATTTTTAGGATGCAGTTCGGAGCTGCAGCAGTGACAATGGTTTTCGTCTGGCTGGCTGGGTATCCTTGCCCAGCTTTCAGACCGTACATCGAGGGAAAGCGTCGTTTGTGTGTATTTCCAGATACAAGCTGGTTCCATGAGCGATTGGTGCGTGCAGGGCTTTCTGCAGAAGCGCTTACGGGCAAGAAGCACCGATCTTCGAACGGATTTTTCCTGAGGGCAGTTTGCAAAATCGAGCCAGGGAGGCATCATGCTGGTGTGATGACCTCTTGGACGGCAGAGGAGAGCCTTCAGCTGACGTACTATCGTCGGCCTTTGGATGCATACTCGGTATCTTTGGTTTCAGGCTCGTGCTGGGAAATCCAAGGATCTTCTGACAGGCAGCTTCCGCTGAACTTTCGGGAGTGTGCAAGGGGTGCCGGCGGGGTCGGCCCAGTGTCTTTGAAGCATGCCATGTTCGATCTGCGTCCAGAAGACAGAGAAGGCTTGCGGCTACATAAATTCGGACATGCTGAAGCAGTTTCATACCCCGCAGATGTTCTGCAAGGTCCAGGTGCAGCTTGACAAACCGTTGATTTTGAGTCTGGGGCTGAAGCATTCCTGTATGTCGTATGTTCTTCCTGAGGTGGGATGGCTCCGGATGATCCAGATGGTCAGCCAAGGATCTGCATCGCCTTGCCGGAAGCCTTAGTCGAACTTGCTCTGAGGGGTGAGTGGCGTGATTTGGTGCTTTTGCGCCGTTGGCACACCTCAGCTCTTCAGAGACCGCTCTTTCCTGATTGGCCCCCTGTGCATTGGAAGCCAGATGCAGTGCCCGAGCCCCCTACAGTGATGTGCGACTTTGACCAACATGCCATAGGACAGCTCATCAATACGATTCATTCCTGGGCACCCTTTCTTGAGCGAGCAGTTGTGGCAGACCCCGACCCAGATGAGGATGTAGATATGGATTCAGAGCGCAACATTATTGCAGGCATGACTCGTGTTGTGACCGTGCTGACTTCTTGGCAAGATGCGCTAGCAGGTACCCCAGCAACATCGCTTGGCAAAGGAAGTCGTATGCACAGTGCTGCGAAGCTGCTCAAGTATTTGCGAGCATCTTGGTATGCTGGAAGCACCAACCGCCTCGATGTGGTGATGAAACATTCGATCCTTGCTGCGATGCCCATGCCTGTGGCAGCAGGTTTGCTAAAACACCTAGAGACCAAGGCACTGCACCCTTCGAAGTGGAGTTTGAAGCGATACCGTCTTGCTTTGGATTTGGCTTTCTTGTTGGTTTCACAAGAGGACATGGTGCCTTAGGTTAGCTATCTTTTCGTTGTGGGTGAGACTCTGAGAATCGCCGAACACACATGGCCCCAGGAGAACCAGGCTGCCAATGACCAGGGATGCGTGAGGTATCTGTGGGCTGACAGCTCTCCGGATCGTCGGCATGACTGGTTATGGAGTGAACAGCACTTTATCAGGGATTCAGATTCATTGTTGGGCTGCTTCCAGGCTTCTAAAGCAATATATCAGTGGCTGCACACCGCCTGCGAGGACCCGTGGAATGTGCCCGAGCAATGCATTCCAAGGTTCGAGCAGTTGTTGCGAGGCATCCGGCACCATATACATACCCCATCCGCTCTAGGTTCTGGGAAAAAGATGTCGGACCTAGCTCAGAAAGGGTCAGCAATTGCCCATTCCCTGGCTTTGGAGAACCCAACTTGGGCTCAGCTATTCTCTTTCTTGAGGTCCTTTGTGAGTCTTACAACGGACTTTGGCACTGAGAGTGCACTAACTTACTACAGGGTTTCCCTCGCGAACTTGTTTCCATCTTGGCGTGACTTGTGCCCGGTCGAAGTGGACGGCGAAGTTGAGGATGACGCTCAGCCCCAGGGCGAAGTTGTTCCAAATTTGGATGTGGATCGATATTTCCTCGAGCAGGCGTTGCCAGTGATGGGGATGCAGCACTGTGTGCATAATCTTCTGCATGAGGTGCATACAGCGTTGCCTTTCTGGCGAGAACTGTGGGATGACTTGAAGAACCTGGAGGGCTTATTGAACTGGAACTTTCGTCGTAGAAGGTACATTGCAACTTGCCTTCGTGGTACGCAATTTGAGGGTTTGGCGGATAGTTTTGAATCGTTCAATCAGTCGCTTTATAAGCTCGGTGGCATGAAGTATCCAAGTTTCTTGTCAGTGTCGAACCACTGTTGCCTGTGCTTCGTTCAACTTGGGACGCCCAGCGCTTTCAGAATGTGGATGTGGTTGGTGGAGGGGCCGGAGGTGGGGACCATGGTGCTGTCAGAGCACCAGGAAATGCAGCCTCCTTCAACCCTGACAGGTTGACCCAATGCTTGCAATGCCCCAGGTTTGCTGCTCGAGTTGGGATGTTGTGCCAATTGGAAAGATTTCCCGAGAAGCTTTCCGGTTGGGCAGAGGACTGCCCGTGCCACTCAGGCGTGTGCGGAAACATGACCCGGTACACTCGCACCAAGCTCCTCAAGGAACATTTCTCGGGAGTGCCCGTCTGCCCCATGGCAGGAAAACGAGCTCCCGAAGTGGCAGCTGGATGCATCCCAGCCGTGTTTGACGCCATTGCAGGGCAGGCATTGACTGAAGTCCTGCTTGCCTCGCCGCTGCCGCTTTCTGCAGAGCAGCAAGCCGTGCTTGTTTCCGAATTCCACGGCGCTCGTGATCACATGAGGCTTGTCCTGCTGTCCAAGCTCGCCCGTTGGCAGAGACTGCCGTGGCTTCTGTGCGGTTTAGCTCACCCCGACGAGGATGTGGGGCGGCGAATCGCGCAAGACATCAAGGACATGCTGCAGCAATCACCTAACCATGTTTTGCATCACCGGCTGACGAAGAAATTCCTTTCGGATCCTTTGCGTGCAGAGCTGTGTCGGTTTGCTGAAGGGGAACGTTTTATCAACTTGAGTCGTGATTTTCAATTGGCCGTGGCACCTCTTCATTTCATCCCAGTGGTCGAAAGCATCATTGAGTCCAAGCATGCTGTAACTACCAGACTACGCAAGCGAAGCACCCATGCCGGCCCAGTGCAGGTCAGTCTTTACAACCGCATGGTCATTTTGGAACGAAGATTTGAAAGAGAGGCATCATGTGACCCTGTGAACAATTTCTTTGACAGGATGAGTCAGGCTTTGGCACTGTCAAGGCGTTTGGGAACAATGCCTGCCAAGCTGGGTTTGCGGCGCCACCCGCTGCTTGTTGAGTTGGAGAACAGGCGTGGCCGTCAAGACGTCAGTGCTTACTTGCAAAAGCCTCTCACAGCCGCCATCTACCGTACAGACATGGATAGCCAGTTCATGTCCTTAGCAGAGGCCAGGAAACAACACTCCCAGTATCACAAGCGAAATCAGGAAGAGATGAAATCTGCTATGGCAGATGCCAGTGCACAGGGCCGGCAAGAGCCTTTGTCGGATGTCGTGAGGCAAGGCCTCATCTTGGACCATTTCCGTTTTCTCGGAGAGGTGAAGCCTTCAGCCAGCGATGCGACGGTCTTGTTTTCCGTGCCTGCCAGCTCGAGCTTTGCGTTGCAAGGTTTGTCGGATTTCTTCAGCAGGCCTGAGCAGAGAGCGATGAAGCCTCATTTGGGCCAAGCTTTGGAGTGTGACCATGAAGGAGATGGTGATGATTCCATGCCATACTTTTTCACATTAACCAAAGCTAGGCCAAGCAACAACAAACGTATGTATGTTCACCCTGGGGCCGGCCAGTCGCTGAAACCTGATCATGTCGCAGTTGCTTTGCAACCGGCTTCTCGTGGTGAGTCGGGTCAGTTTATCGTTTCAGCCCAACGAGGCGGCAAACAACAAGGACGTGACAATCTGGCTATTGTGACCTCTTTAGGCAGCTGTGCGACTGAGATTGAGTCCGACCTGAAAATGTGGTCTGTGGCCCCGCAGCTCAGGTATTCGTTTGAGGGGGGGACAGAGGCTATGTGCAAGGTTGTCACGAAGATGGTTGTCGAAGGGTACCGTGTTGACAAGGATGGTTTTCATGTGCCAGGCTTCGATGTCCAGTCTGAGGCCGATTCGTTGTGCAAACAAGGGCTGATGGCCTCCAATTCGCTTGGGGGCTATGCACTAACTGCGCAAGGCATGAAACAGCTTCAAGTCCAGTGGTGCCCTGTGGAGCCCCGCAGTGTGTGTGCGATTCGTGATGGTCTGGATCTCATGCAGATGACTGCTTATGAGCTGTTGCTAAAGTTAGAAGATGTCGGTTTTCAGTGGAGACAATGGCCATCCAAGCAGCAAGAGAGGCGAGAGATTGCGCCTTACAAACCTGGGGAAAGCATGTTCTGGTATTCCACGCATGCTGTGCCTCCAAAGTCTTACTTCTTGGCTTTGCTCCGAGCAGAGGCCAGCGACCAGGGTTGCCACAGCCAGGTGAGTTAAGTTGGCCCGCACGATGTTGTCCGTTGTGCAGCGTGCTTTCAAGAGTCTTGCAGGAGATCGTGGCAGTGGGAGTCCACCAGCATATTCCACATGGGCAGGACAGCAAGTAGTTTGCCAGTCTTTGAGTCAAGAACCCGGCAACATTTCCTGCCCGTGGGCAGGACAGCAAGATTTATGAAGCAATCTTGGCGGGGCAGCCAGCTGTTTACTCGCTGATAGCGGCGTCAGAAGATGACCAAGCAGCTGGAGGCAGGGGATTGCGGCTTTGAGTGTCGACAAAATTCCTAAGACAATCGTGATGCTCTCTGTTACAGGTCGACGGAGAGATGTTGGTTGACACTGCCCCGAAGCGGCGTCGAGGCCGTGCTTGCAGTGCTGCTGTTTTGGTTGATGCTTCCTGTGGCGACCAGGAAATGCGTCAAAACCAGCTGATCGTGATGCTCTGCGACCGGAAGGCAGGGTTTGGATGAGTCCACATTTGCATGTGTGTATGTGTGGGACTGTGTGCGTCTGCGTGTGTCTGTGTACTTGCGAACCTGCGCATGTCGAGGCCATCCGGTGCCTTTGGGCGATGCAGACCCTCCTGCTCTTGACGATGACCATGCTGTGCAGTCAACGGACGATGCTGAAGAGGCAGGCTCTGTTCAGATCAGGCTGAGAGTTTGGATGAGGGGGGAATTGGCGATATCCTGGAAGAGTTGTCAGCACAGATGGCAGCGGGTGGGGCTAGTGACGATCCTGAGCTTGCTCGCGAAGAGCCAGCGTTCATCCCGCCGCCGCCGCCTCCTCACGATCCAGAAGACGAAGTTGCTGGTGCTAGGGACTTGTTGTCTTCGAGTCGCTTCGGTTCGTTCACTATAGTTCCAAAGCAGCCTCAGTCCAAAGGCGGAGGTACTTATGGAGGTTACCAAGGATCCTGCAGATTCCACAAGAAAAACACTCTGACGGGCTGCAAAAGATTCATATCCATAAAAGGTCCTACAGACGATGACCGCCAAGCTGCGTTCAATCAGATCCTGTATTGGTGCACACAAGCACGTGACTTCAATCGCCAGAGGTTGCACATCCGGGCATCGGTGCTACCCACACCTCCGCGTGATCTGCTGCTGGCAAGGAGGATAGATGAGGTGCCCACAGATGTTCAGGACGACGATGAGCTGGGCCGAGCAGATGCTGCTGCAGCTAGACCCGCTGCGAAACGGAAAGCGAAGCCGAAGGCATCCACAGCCAAACCCAAGGCCCGTAGCAAAGCCAAAGCAGCGGCGGCTCCTTCTGCTCCCAGTGATGAAGCAGCTTCAGACCCGCCCAGCAGCGATAGCAGTGATGACAGTGACAAGTCTGATCAGTCTGCGTCGACTAGTGATAGCAGTAGCTCTTCCACGTCGTCGTCCTGACCAAAACCGTGCATCATGTGCCCAAAAGCGTGAAGAAATGACCGTGTTGCATTGCATCCGTCAGGTGTGCGTAGGTCTGACTTTTGCGAGGCACAGGCTTGCAGAAAGTGTCCCAGAACAGGCCAACTCTGGGTAAAACAATTCCAGTTAATTCGAAAGCAGCTACAAATATTCGTGGTAATAACAAAGCTATTTCTCGCACGGTTGAGCAATTTTCCTGGGATCCACCGAGCTCCTCCGCACTCCCCCGCACTCCCCCGCACTCCCACCCCGCACTCCCCCGCACTCCCCTGCACTCCCCCGCACTCCCCCGCACTGTCACCCGCACTCCCCCGCACTCCCCCGCACTCCCCCGCACTCCCCCGCACTCCCCCGCACCTTCCCACAATCCCGAATATTAGTGTACTTCCCTGTGCGTGGGCCTTTGCTGTCTAGAATTCCCAAAGTATTAATTTGAATATTCCTACATGCCGTGTTGTGCTGTCATGCCGAGAACAGCTAGGGAGCAGCTTGTTGCCAGCCTTGTTTGATTGGTTCCTACGTGTACGGCCTTGTTCAAGTCCAAGCAGGGCAGTTTTGACAGTTTTGGCACTAGTTTTGGCAGTCTTGGGGCAGACAGCAGCAGTCAGATGGAATTGATGTCGGGCAATGCATATAGAGTCTCACATAGCGTGTCGTGCAACAGCATGGAGCCTGACTGTGAGTTTTCAGTGGATCCTTCTTCTGGCAACAAGAGGAAGGCTCCCAGGATGTCGAGCCACAGCAGACCTGGCCCGAGCACGTTTGATCAGATTGCTGACTGGCCAGGACAGCTGCGTGACGACCTGACCCGTGGAATGCCTGAGAGTTTCTTGGGTGCCCTGACTAGCAAGTTTGACAAGATGATTGTGTTGACGACCCATTACTCCGGCATGGGCTGCGCTGAGCTTGCACTGCTCATGTTGGAGGCAGAGTTTCGGCGTCGTCCGGAAGGTCACGAGACGGAGAGTAATGTCATCCTATACTCGGCTTGTGAGCAAGATGCAACAACCCGTCAGATGCTGCTTGGGCCAGGACATCGTGGCAGCCGTCTCGAGCCCCAGCATGTCTTTGGTGACATCATCTCTAGAGTGCCCGTGGACATCCTAGGCCACCTAAAAGAAGTAGAGCTTCAACACCTAGAGCAGGCGGCAGGGATCGCTGCAAACCTCAGCCTTTCGAGGGAGGAGAAAGAAGAACACAAGAATGACCTGGGAGAAAGGTTATTGAACAGCTTCTTGTCTGTGCTTTCGCGATGCAAGTTTGTGGCAAAGGATTGGTGCTACAAGCACAATGCAATGTGCCCTTTGCTGCCCGCTAAGAATGGAGCTCATATTGAACATGGAGAAGTTACTGGCAGCACATGTGTTGCCTGGTCTAAGTTGCGGTCCACCCAGAGCAGTGCTCAAACCAAGTGGCTCCACAAGAGCACTTTGCCCTGCCTAGTCTGGATGTTCTGGACAATGCAGGCTCCTCCTGATTGGTTCATTCATGAGTGTGTGCAATCTTTCGATGCACAGATGCTGGTGCAAACGGTGTCCCAGTATCTGACGGCTTCGTTTGTGTTCTCTCCTACCTTGTTTGGTCTGCCATCCAACAGGACCCGGCGCTTCACGTTCGGCATCAATGCAGCTCGCTGCTCATGGCAGCAAGATTTGCTAGACGAAGGCTTTGCCGATGATCCGTCCACCATGACGACAGGGGCTGCTCAAACATTGTTTTCCACTGTGTTTGGCAGGGATATCGTAGTTGGTTGCGAAGTGTACTTGGTGGCTTCGGACAAGGCGGTTGCAACGTGGGCACGTGGTGCTGTGTCAGACAAGGGGCTTGGTCATCTATGCGACTCAGACGTGGACATGAAGTTGTGCCTGTCAGGTGCTCAATTCCAACGCATGGTTGCTTACAAGGACTTGCTGCGTGAGAAGAAGGTGGAGTGTGGCAGTTTCACGTCCTTTGTTGTCAATCTGGAGCAGACAGCTGGATTCCAACCATGTGTGTCGCATATTGTCCCGGCCCTCTTGACGCAGTCCACTCTTTGTGTGCTGCGTGCCCAGTCTCCGGCAGGGGCTACAGGCAGCACCGTGCCATCCGCAAGAATGCGTTTGGTCTTACCGATCGAGCACTTTGCAATTTTGAGTTTCCCCATGCCTGAGGCCTTTCGAGGAGCTGTGCGATCGAGTGTCCCAGAGTCTGCGGCCAGGAAGTGGACGGACGCTTTCCCGTGGGATGTTGCTTGGCTCCGGAGAGAGATGGGTGACAAAGTGATGCGACGGCTTACTGGCAATGGCATGAACCTGCATGCTCTAGGATCAGTGATGGCCATTCTCCTTGCGGGTTGCCAGCCTTCAAGTCGTGAGTCAACAACCAGCAGCTCAGGGTCAGGGTCAGAGTAGGTCAGGTCCTGGTCAGGGTCAGAGCCGCGATCTTGGATCCATACAAGTCGACAGTGGAAAAGCGGGGTTGCTCCTGGGTGCTGCTTTGTGTGAGCCAGTGCAATGCTGCCGGTTGTGTGCTTGAGTGAAGGCCTCCGAATTTTGTGCATGTCCTAGTGCTTTTACTAGAAGGTCTTAGTAATAGTATTGTTGTTCCTAGTTCTGCCGTTGTTGCGATTGATCATGGATGCAGACAGTGAGCTGTTTGAGAACTTGCTCGACAAGGTCTTGGGAAGCCCCGTCGAGAAGGCTTCTCCAGAGGCCAAGAAGCGTGGCAGGCCGAAGGGTTCGAAGAGCAAGGGGGCGGAGGAGGATGCTGATGAAGCAGGCGTTCCCAACAAGCGGCGCAGGAGCTCAGGATCCGGAGCCGGAGCCCCCAGCGGGACTGGCGGGACCCCACCGAAGTCAAAGGTGCAATGTATGTGTTGCGGTAAAGTGTTGGACCGTAGCTTGATGGCTAACTTGCGCTACTGTGTCGACGGGAAAAAAATAACGGACAGGCTCTACCATGCTGCCAAAGCCCAGGACGCGGTGGAATGGCTGTCAGATCAGCTGTCAACCTTGGAGGGATCGATGCGAATAGTCAGTGCCTTCAAAGCACGCTTCCCGCAGTGGAAGACCCAAAGAACTGACAGCAAGAGATTCGTCACACAGTACATTGAGATGGTTACTGCTGAGACTGCCGTTCTTTGGGACGGCGATGGGATAATGATGTCGGAAGACAGATATGTTCTCGAAATGTCGAAACCGGAGCACGGCGGGTTCTCCGGGAAGGCTGCTCGGGAAAAGTTTGCCAATCTGATGAGCGATCCCACGAGCATCCGAGACAAGAAGGGTGGTGTTGATCGTGTCCGGGTAGACCTCGACGATCACGTGCGGTTCCAGAATAAGTTTAGCAGGTTGAAACAAGTCATACAGAGCCAGCAAGGCAAGAAGAATATGAGCGAGGAGGAGGTGCAGGCTCTGCAGGCGAAGGTCTTCAGTGGCCACGACCAAGGCTTCGCGAATCAGGATGTGGACATGATGTCAATGGCCAAACGGATGGCTCTTGGTGCAGGCCGAGGTGCTACCGCCTTTGACGCAGAGATGATGCAGCTGGGGCAGCTCAAAGACCTCCTTCCGCAGGAGTCCACTCCCGACAAGAAGAAGCCAAAAG